GTCCTATGTGGTTTCCCCTATGGAAGGGTAAATTGTGGATAGGAGTCTGGACATTGAATTCATTTTATCCTGCTATTTAGCAAAAAGGTTTTCCAGGGCAACTTCCAATATAGTTAACAGGTAATACGACAGTCCCTACATTCAGGCTTACTATAATAAATTCAAGTAATAGCACAGCTGATAGTATGGCAACTTCATTCATTTCTGAAGATGTATGATCTGCTGATGGCAACCTATTTCTCAGTCACATCCTGTGGGGATTACTGCGACTTGGTGCACATCAGACTGTCTTTGAACAGTCTTCAGAAACTAACCCAGAATGCTGTGCCTATAATTTTGACAAGCACAGCTTACTTGAAGCAAAACAAGGCCCCCTTGTTACAATAGGTTTCACTAGGCACCAGCCTATTTTCAGATACAACTGAAAGTGCCGGTTATAAGTTATAAAGCACTATACAATATAATCTCAACCCAGAGTGCAGGACATGTAATAATGGGTTCTAGCTACAGGAAGCCAGTTTTCAGCAGAATATCAGGAAAAACCTCTCAGCTGTCAGAGCAGTATAACAATGGAACCAATTACCTCAGGAGGTGGTGAGCGCTCCAATGCTGGAGGCATTCAAGAGAAAATTGGTCAACCATCTGTCAGATCTGCTTTGATTTGGATTTCTGCATTGAGCAGGGGGTTGGACTATATGGTCTTATGAGTCCTTTCCCGCTCAATTATTCCATGATTCTATGAGCTCCTACAAAGCAGTCTGGCTTGAAAAGAGCCAAGAACAGTCTCGGTAGCAGATTTTATTTTAATTTTATTATAGTGTTTTTATTCCATTTTTATTGTTAGCCGTCCAGGGTAGACTTGTGTCTAGATGGGCGGGGTATAAATTTAATAAATAAAATGAATATTTTATAACAAGTGCTAGAATATTAATAGCTAGATTTTGGAAAGATAAAAATGATACTAAATTAAAAGATTGGTATAATGAAGTATGGGACATTGCATTAAATGATAAATTGACTACTGAACTTAAGATGAAAAGAGGGGAAATAAGTTCAAATATTTTCTATGCTATTTGGGGTAATGTGTTGAATTTGTATTTGGTTTCGTGAAACGAAAGGGGAAAGTCTCTAAACAACAATCAATACAATTCTGGAAAGGAAGTTCATATTAAAAGTATTTTTGTATTTGTTTTTGTTCTGAAAAAATAAAAATAAAATAAATAATAAAAATAAAAATAAAATAAAGCACTATACTATTTGGGACCAGATAATTTGAAAGGCAATATTATCTCTTTTGAATGTGATTAGGCTTCAAGAGTTTAAAAACATAGAAGGTTGACCTATACTGACTGACTGCTACTGTCAAACCAACCAAATGTTTTTCCAGATGGGGATTTTGTATCCTTGCAATTTTCTTATTAAACCCTGATTTTCATGGAAACCCACCTAACATCCAGATGACATTCCTGTTATCCTTGTATGTATAATTAAGCTTAGTTTTGTTACACCTTTTTGTTCCTCCCAAATGCCCTGGTTTATTTCATTGCAGTTTGTGGCACATCCCTTCCAAATCTGAAACTTTTCTTCCCATCTATACTTCTTTTTGAAAAGACCCAGGTGCCTGCATCCCCAAGCAGGGGCTGATTTAGCACTATTACACATTTTTTTAATGTTAAAAAAAACAACCAGGTGGGGAGGTGAGAAGTTATGAAAAGCTCTAGATGATAGAGTGGTACAGCAGAAACAGCATTTGGAAGTTGGAGCTGGTGCACAGCTTGACTCCTGATACCCAGCTGCTTATAGAAACTTGAGGGTGGGAGAGCTGCAACTGTTACTTCAATACTGGATGGAAAGTCACACAAAATCACACACATTATTGATTTCACAACAAAAGGAGGGATTGTTTATATACGCATGTCCTGGGAGCTGCACAGCTCCCAAATCCTGATTCATTTTGACAGGAATCCTAGTAAATCCTACTAAATCCCAAGCTTTTGCAGTAAAGAGGGGTGCAGAACGAACTGGTAAAAATGTTAGTCTTTGAAGAGATGTGACACACTTAGCTTAGGAATTTGTTTTAGTACCTGAACTCAGCTTTTAGCTTCTTACAAATAAATCTCTCTCAGCCCCCCAAGCTTTCTCCACTTCAGCTGTGTGTGGGGTGTGTATGTTTGTGTGTGTGACCTCTGGCAAAGTCTTCCTTTATTGAGTCAATCCCCCAAGCTTTCTCCACTTCAGCTGTGGTGTGTGTGTGTGTGTGTGTGTGTGTGTGTGTGTGTGTGTGTGCGTGCGCGTGTGCGCGTGTGCGCACTTATGGGAATCCAGGATTAATGACCTCCAGAATGTTCTTTCATTATAGCAACTCTGCTCTGGCAAAGTCTTCCTTTATTGAGTCAATCCATCTCATATCCACCCTTCCTCTTATCCTGCAGCCTTTAATTTTGCTTGTATTATTGTCTTTTCCTGTGCATTTTGTATTTTCATGGTGTGTCCAAAGTACAGTCTTCTCTCATTTTAGTCATTTTCGCTTCAAAGAAGAGTTCAGGCTTGATATAATCTAGAACCCACTTATATGTCTTTGTAAAAAAATTATCTGCAAAGCCCTCTTTCAACATCCCATTTTGAATGAACTGAGGCTTTTTCCTCTCAGCTTCATTCACCGCCCAGGTTTCATATGGATCAGCTATAAGGCAGTTGGAATCCCTTGCTGACCACTGTGGAGCATTTAGAGACCTACCAGTAGATCTCCTTGTATCACCCCACAAACTTCAACGTCATATGTGAAGCTGGAGTGTCCTCTCCAGAGCAGGAGGCATGGGTGAAATAATAGGGAGGACAGACTGTTACCCAAGCAGCAAGTCCCCCCCTCTCCAAGTCACTGAAATAGTCCAACGGAAAGGCAAGAACTAATACAACTGCTTCCAGCAACGTTGCAGGAGTTGCCACAGCGTGACTGTACACAGTCTCAAACTGCCTCCTGGACTCCGGATCTGGATTTTGCCTCAAGGTTTACTCCTGAAGCCTTTTCCATCGATGGATATCCACCGGCCCACAGTGATTCTCCTCCATGGTCCCTCTTTCCCCACCTTCCCCGTCGGAACTCATTTTGTGCTGCAGCCTTTATCTCTTTCCATAGAGGGTGCTCTCCTCAATGCACACCCCTATTCCCCCCCATCCCAAAGAAGGGCAGTGCCAAAGAATGTTCCAACTACCATACAATTGCACTCATTTCACACACTAGCAAGGTTATGCTCAAAATCCTACAAGGTAGGCTTCAGCAGTATGTGGATTGAGAACTCCCAGAAGTACAAGCTGCATTTTGAAGGAACAGAGGAATTAGAGACCAAATTGCTAACATGTGCTGGATTATGGAGAAAGCCAGAGAATTCCAGAAAAACATCTACTTCTGCTTCATTGACTATGCAAAAGCCTTTGACTGTGTGGACCACAGCAAACTACGGCAAGTCCTTAAAGAAATGGGAGTGCCTGACCACCTTATCTATCCCCTGAGAAATCTATATGTGGGACAGGAAGCAACAGTGAGAAATGGATATGGAACAACTGATTGGATCAAAATTGGAAAAGGAGTACGACAAGGCTGTATATTGTCTCCCCGCTTATTTAACTTATATGCAGAATGCATTATTTATTTATTTTTAATTTAATTTAATTTAATTTAATTTAATTTAATTTAATTTATTGAGCTTATATGTCACACATTTAGACATAGTCTACTCTGGGTGACTCACAAACACGTAATAAAAAAAAATTAATATAAAGTAATGGTTTCTTACTTTAACACAGATAAAGAAAGAGAGAGAATTACGTAGAGTCTGGAAGGAAGGCCTGTCTATATAACCAGGTCTTGAGTTGGTTTTTGAAAATGCCCAGCAAGGGGACCAGACGAATCTCGTGGGGGGAGCATGTTCCAAAGCCTGGGAGCCACTGCCGAGAAGGCCCGGTGTCTTGTTTTTTCTTTCCAGGCCTCCCTCTGCGTTAGGCTCCTCAGTCGCCCCTCCTGGCTAGATTGGGTAATATGAGTATTATGTGATTTCTTGGGAGGAATCCCAAGTGGGAATTAAGATTGCCGCAAGAAATATCAATAACCTCAGATATGCAGATAATACCACTCTGATGGCAGAAAGTGAGGAGGAATTAAAGAACCTCGTAATGAGAGGGAAAGAGGAGAGCGCAAAAATGGTCTGAAGCTCAACATAAAAAAACAAACAAACCTAAGATCATGGCCACTGGCCCCATCACCTCCTGGCAAATAGAAGGGGAAGATATGGAGGCAGTGACAGAGTTTACCTTCTTGGGCTCCATGATCACTGCAGATGGTGACAGCAGCCACGAAATTAAGAGACACCTACTTCTTGGGAGAAAAGCGATGACAAACCTTGACAGCATCTTAAAAAGCAGAGACATCACCTTGCGGACAAAGTCCCCATAGTCAAAACTATGGTTTTCCAGTAGTGATGTATGGAAGTGAGAGCTGGACCATAAAGAAGGCTGACCGCCAAAGAATTGATGCTTTTGAATTGTGATGTTGGACTGCAAAGAGAACAAACCTATCCATTTTGAAGGAAATCAACCCTGAGTGCTGACAGGAAGGACAGATCCTGAAGCCGAGCCCCAATACTTTGGCCATCTCATGAGAAGAGAAGACTCCCTGGAAAAGACCCTGATGTTGGGAAAGTGTGATGGCAAGAGGAGAAGGGGACGACAGAGGATGAGATGGCTGGACACTGTCTCTGAAGCTACAAACACGAATTTGACCCAACTCCGGGAGGCAGTACAAGACAGGAGGGCCTGGCATGCCCTGGTCCATGGGGTCACGAAGAGTCGGACACTTAACGACTAAACAACAACAAACTTCCTTCCCCTCCGTCAATCCGCAATCCCAGAAGGCCCTCTCTCTTTTCTGGCAGGCCTGCCTTGGAGTGTGTTGCTAAGTAACCGCGCGCACGCATCCCCCCTCCCTTCCCCCGGCTGGTCAGAACAGCGATGGCCTTCGGCACCTGAGAAGCGGAGAGCGACCGCCGCCCGCTGAGGGACTGAGACCCCCTGGAGTGTGATCTTGTGGATTCAGAGCTAAGGGGCTGGCGGGGTCGTGCGGGCCTCGGGGTCGGTCGACTTGCACTGAGGGAAGAAGGGGGTGAGAGCAAGGGAGGAGGCAAGCGAGCCTTCCCTTCTCCTCAGCGGAGCTTTAACTGCTGCTCCTTGAGAGTCCGCCTGAAGAAGGGCGCCCGAGTGGACCGCGGGACCCGGGACCCTTGTGAGAGGTTTAATTTGCCCCTTTCACAAAGGGATTTTGCTTAAGATATTTTGCTGGGAGGGTTTTATGTAGCGAGTCGTAAGAACGATCCAATGAAACAATTTGTGCTGAAGTCAATGCCAAGTAAAGTTGACTTTCTTTATTTTTTTTTTTAGTTTTTCAAGGGCTGTGAACTGGAAATTTCCAAGGGCTGCAGGTTTACCCATCTCTGCCTCGAAAAAAAACTTCTTCAGTTTCAGTTTCGGTTGGGGCGAAGCCGTTAAAGGCAGAGTAGCCCAGTGCCTTCCCCTAGAAGGAGGAGATTAGTATTGTAGTGTTTAATAAAAGTATAAGTTAAGTTTGTTGGATTTAACTTTTGGTGGAATAAAAATGGCATTCCATAACTGGGCTGTTACTTTCCTCACAGATATGCTATATTACATGTGTGCATTTATTTAGAGCAACTGAAGAAGGCAGAAGGCAAAAGATCTAAATTCATACTTGAATAACATCTGTGTGACTAAAAAGTCAACCTCATATATACCAGATAATCAGAAAGGTAAACAGATACTGTACATAGAAATCATATGTTGCTACCAGTATTTGTAAAAAATGGCAGATGGTAAACAACATCTTACCATCCCTTCTTGCCCAAGAAATATTAGACTATCTAAAAAACAAATTGCTTCACACTTACTGCATTTACATATGTGCAAAGTTATGTCGAACTAATCAACTTGTTTTCCTGAGTTTTTACTGGGTGACAGTTTTTACCTTCCTGGGTGACAGCCCTTATAGAAACTGTGCACTCAAGGTAATGTGAAAATATTATGTTACATTTTTTTTTAGAAAACAGCAGATTAAAGGTTTCATATATATTTTATATACTGGTTGCCTGCTTTGTTTGACATATATATCTCAGATGTAGCATATGTGGGCAGTAAATTGTAATGACAATATTTGGGGATTATTAATCATTATTTCCTTTTTCTGATTGGAAATAGGTTAGCCATTTTTTGGTTTCCTTTCATTTTTCAGAGTTAGTATTATTTGCAAAGATTTTGAGAGGTTCAAGTAGTCAAACTGAGAAATTATCACAAGCTTGCTCATTTACAAAGTCAAAAATATTAAAACCTCTTTGTCATTTGAATTATGAACTTGATTTGCATTTAAACAACATTCTACGCTTGTTTTCTCCAAGGTGCAAACAATGGCTAGAAAACATGAGCATTTTGGATTAAGATATTTAGAAGAGCTGAATATACTTAAGGAACGTGAAAATATTTGCAAAGAATCTCGGCGGGAATTTCTGAGGTTTAAACAAGAAACAACTACTGCTCCTACAGATCTGAGCAAACCTTTGTTGGAAGTGACAGCACCAGAAGAATCTATGCAATCTATTTTGTCGCAGAGTTCAGGACTTGAAGCTCCACTCCTATTTACTGAAAGTGCACAATTTCCTTTTGAATTAGATACTGCTAAAATTAAAAAAAAAGTAAGGATTTCTCCTGACATAATAGACACACAAAAACAAACAGAAGATGTCAAAACTCAGCAAAAAATATCTTCTAAAAAGGAACCTAGTATTGACAAAAAACAGAGTCATGCTTCTAGAAAGGCAAATCTGGAATGTAAAAGTGATAATCTAGAATATGAAGGTGAAAAAGCACCAGTAGTAATAGCTTCTTTAGCGGGTACGAGCAAACAACTTACTATATCAAAGAAACCAGAGCCTCCACAAAAAGCTAAATATCAGAAGGTTGTTAGGAGAAAATCACAGTCCAAATCCCCTGTCTTTCTACAACAAGACAGTACTCTTATAGAACAAATGGACAAAAAAATACTTTCAGAACATGCAAGACATATCATCGCAGTACCCAGCACTTTCACTACAGAAACGGATGACTCACATTCTGTGATTTCTAGTTTAAGTGAAAAATCTAAAATTACTAAAGAACATTCAAAACGAAGTCCACAGGGTTCTCTGGCTGACTTTGAAAAACCGCAGAGCAAAAAAGACAGTGCCTCATCTAGTGCAAAGTCTGTTCCAGAATCTATGGAAGAAATTTTGAGTAGAAGTAGATCAGGTATTTCAAAAGTGCATGTAAAATATTTTTCAAGGAGTAAGTCACAAATGCAGGCTTCTGCTCATAAGTTGTCTTCTGGACCATCTCAGCGATCTATTGATGAAATAATTGCATCCCTGACATCTACCGCTCCAACTGCCTCAGACTTGAGGATCAAAGAACTCGTGGAGAGTATCCTTGGCCAGGACTACAACATAAAAATAGAAGTAGGTGAAACAAAACAAACTAAATACAGTATAATTGTAAATCAGGCAAAAACAAACAACAGAAAACAAAGTTGATTGAAAGTCAGCCCTCATTGTGGCACCTTAAAGAGTAAATCCTATGTTTTAATGTGAGCTTCCATGGACAAGTCCACTTCCTCAGACGTAAGATTTATTTTGTCTGAAATGCTAGCACAGACTAACATGGCTACATCTTCTAAACATGTTTGGTTGACTAAAAATTAAAATTGCATTTTTGGGCGTAAAGCTTACAATGTGTTATAATACAGAAATTTAGATAAATAGTAGTAACAGGGATAATATTTCTTGTCCCTTTTCTAAATTTCTTTATCTTTTAGCAATAACATTGATCAAATTTAAATGCATTCATTGTAGAAAAGAATTATGTAGCTGAATAGATGTATCAACAAAAGAGCTTTGTATGTACATGATGTATGTATGTTCTGCAAGAAAGTGCTGTTTGGTTGTTCTAGGTTTTTCAGGCTGTTTGGCCATGTTCTGGAGGTTTTTCTTCCTAACATTTCACCAGTTTTTGTGGCCGGCCACAATAGACCTGTCCTCTAAAGATGCCGGGCACAGAAACTGGCGAAAAGTTAGGAAGAAAGACCTCCAGAACATGGCAAAACAGCCCGAAAAACCTACTACAACCATTGGATCCTGGCCGTGAAAACCTTCGAGAATACGAAGTGATGTTTATTTATTTATATCCTGCTTCATCTTGAAGATTTAAGGTAAACTAAAATGGCTGTAAATAAGTAAAATGAAAGAGTAATGACAAGATTATGTGGTTTTTCAAAAATATATTCAGACTAGGTTCCTAGGGAATATACCTTATGAACAAAGCACTTAATGAGATGTTTAATTTGATGTGTATTTTTACTGAATGTGATATATATACAGAAGGAGGCAGTCTCCAGCCTATGCAAATTCAAACTTGTAGGCATTTTGTAAGTCTGAAGCTGCTTGCGTCGTGTCCAGAAATTAATAGGTTTGCAACAGAAAGATAATTAGTGATATGCTTTTAAGATTTTTTTAGTGGGAATTCCAGATATACTCTAAACTGGCTGAAATCCAGCATCATAATTTACGCTGCATAAGACTGATGTCACCAGTTGTGACAGTTTTTCAGAAATAAAACATTTCCAGCTGCAACTTTGAAGGTTCTCAAGCTTCTGTGGGCTCCTTTTTGTTAGTGGGAAGTTGATGGGGGCTGCAAGGATTTGGGAGAGTCTCTAATTTCCAGAAGTCACAGCTGCTGGTTTCTGATTCCTAAATGGTTATCAATGACAGGAACATCTGGCCTATTAAACTAAATTGTTTGAATCCCTGCTATTTAGTACTTCAGATGTAGATTTGTGTACATATAGTGTCATCCTATTGTGCATCTCACATGTTAAAACAGGCAGCACCCTTCATCATTTATCACCTCACCAAATATTTTGCCCCTGGTTCTCCTTGGACATTAGAGATTTTAGTTTAAAACGACAGAGATCCTTCAAAAAGGAAGTCTTTATCCCATAGAAACCAAGAAATCCCTCTCCCCATTCAAGAACCACATTTCCCAGCCAGTCATACCATGATTTGTGTTTTGTACAGGACATAATTTTGCTGAAATGTAAAATACTTACATTTGGGAGCATAGAGCATCTTGGTTTTAATCTGATGTTGATGCTACATACTTTCTGGGATTCATAGACCAGGCCACCTGTTTTCAACAGATAGTAGCCAGTTGTTGGTGTTTTTTTTTTTAATTATGGAGTGTAATGCGCTGTTGGCATAGCACTTCATGTGATCTCTGGCTTGCTGTTCCATAAGTTGGAGATTGTCCCGTTGAATAAAATGAGGCTTGATGTGCACACAAGGTACCAGATACATTTGGGCACAAGCTTGTTGGCTTTCGTGGGTGTAGATAAAGAGGATACTGGACATCTTTGTTATTTATTGTTCTTTACTATCCCTGCTCAAGCCATGGAAACTCACTGGGGGAATTCAACTGGTAAAACCACCCCTTAAATATTTCACTTACCTTGAAAACCTTGTTGGGGTCACTGTAAGTTGGTTCTGACTTGACAGCATGAAGCATCAACAAATATTTTATCAAGTTTGTGTTTACTTCAAACTTGTTAGATCACGCACTGTGAAGATATGTTGGTTTCTACGTATGATCAAATAGCTCTGGTGATAGATAACAGAAAAATTGGTAATGGGAGTAACACTGCAGATTAATAAATATAGAGCAGCAAATGCCAGCAGTGAGATTTAAATGTATTATCATACAGTTGTGTGTTTGATTTTTAAAATTATTATTATTATTTTTTTTGTAAAATAAAGCTACCCGCTGTTAAAAAAGAAACTCAGTCAAGTGAATTAGCTATGGAAGTTACATCAGCAGGACCGGAACAGGTGACACCAGTAAGTTTCAACACATTGTTGTGTTTAATAACATTATTATGTCTTTTGCAATCAAACTAACTGAAGACTTGGGGTAACTGAAACATTTTACTTGCACATGGGCTGCTGGCATTGATTCTCCTCTCCCCCATCTACATCCTGCTGACTCCCCAAAATGTTGTTACGGAAAGTTAAGGGACCTTAGAATAGTATATAATAGAATAATATATAACGTGACAAGTGGAGCTTTGGCTGGAGTGAGTGGATTCGAAGAAATTTTCATTAAACTCTTATCACTGGGAAATACAAAAAGGAATCTAAATTATGCCACAACATATTATCATTGTTAAAGTTATGACTCATATTTTCTCCAAGGAATAGATGGTGTCATACATGAGTTTCTTTCTGCTCTTTTTTAAAAACCTTCACTACAATCCTGTGAGGGAGGTTAGGCTAAGAACTGGTCTCTAGTCAAGATAACTCATTGACGTTATCAGCAAAGTTTGCTGATGGAGGTCACCCAGTGAACACCATAGAAAAGTGGTAATTTGAGTTACTGGCTTTGTAGTTTTGGTCCAAGCCCTTTAATCAGCTGTAAACAAGTATTTCCACACAGAACTAGAATATGCCACCAGAAATTATGAAGCGATAATACAGTAACTATCTTGCATTGGGTAATAGTGGTAGGAGGCTCTTCACAACAAACTGATTGTCCTCTGCCACTAACCTATCAATAAATTTCTTTTTCCCACCTCTGGCTTGCCTCTTCCCTGTTCTTGATTGTTTGCTTCACTTCATTTGCTTCTTAGCGTCTCTCCTTTCTTGACCTCTGAGCATGCAGGAAGCATGGAGAGTTCTTTCCCACATGTGGAGACCCTATCTTTTCTGTTGTTCTACTGGCTGTAGTTATAGACAGCAATTGTAAGTTAAGATACCTTTCCCACTTAAAATGCTTCCAGAATGATTTTTAATATATGTGAAAAGAGGTGGGTTACTGAGACTTAAGCTATACTCTCATTCTTTCTCTGTGCTGGTGTTATTTGTACCTGATACTCTGCTAAATATAAAAGGAATTAGCCAAATTCTCCAATAAATTACACTTTTTATTTTAATATTGATTCTTCTCCTTTTTCAATACAGTCATCATCTGTTGGAACAGAACTCTGGATGACAGAAGTTGAATCTCCAGTTGAAGCTGTAACTGAACAAGTTACACCAGCAGATACTGAACAAACAAAACTGGTACAGTTTAACCTGCTGTTAAGGAAATGCATGTTTTTTTTACCATCTGATCCTGTGTGTTGAATACAGAATTGATTCTTAAGCTTCTAAAGCAAGGGGGTATATGCAGCTGATCTGCTCCTGGGAAAATGTTTTATGTAGGACAGGAAAAATGAATGTTGAGGCTATCTATATATGGATCTTAGCAGAAGTGGTACAAGCACTCCCACTGTCGAAGGTAGAAAGAGAAGAGCCACCTCTCACTATATGGGAGCTGCCCACCACTGGTCCAGTACCTCTCAAACATTCAAAGAAGAAATAGTAGGTGGGTGGCAAAGAAAGCAGTGGTGATAGCAAAGGCAGCAACAGGAGATTGGGATCCCCAGCCCATTGTTGAAGGAAAGGTGGAACAGAGATTGTTCCCAAGAGGGTCCTTGTTGTTTTATGGTGCCTGTCTAGATCACCTACTTTGGAGCTGGCTATTTCAAATATGTCTGTCCCTGAAGATAGTCCTTGGGGCTACAGTGGTTTGGAGAGGGGGAACTACCTGTATGTCCTCTTCATTTCCTCAGCTGAGAAGTGGCCCTCAAATTCTAATGGCAGTTAGTTCTGGGAATGGGCAATACAGTGGGGTCTTGACTTAAGAACGGCTTGAGTTAAGAACATTTTGACTTAAGAACCACTCTCATAGGAAAATATTGACTTGACTTACATACTTAGATTTGAGTTAAGAACTGAAAAAAACCACGTGGGAGGCAGGGAAAGTGCAAAATTTGAACTTTCAGTTAACTGTTGGCCAGTGAAAAGGGTGCCTGTCTGCTTCCTCACTCCTCCCAGCGTTTAGAGAGTGGATTGGGAG